TATTCGACTTTGTATGGGCTATTCAAATATTACGTAAGCACTAAGCCGATGGTTGTGAATTGCTTATTTTTGCTAACAAGGAGGCCGGAGGGGTAAGGGGAATCTTTAAGTAAGACATTGAATTCCCCCGATTTTTACAATTTTCTTAAAATGGAAAGGAAAAAAAGAAATATATATATATATATATATAATAAATAAAAACAAAAAAACACGAAGAAAATTATTGATGCAATATTGGAAAGCACTCTTTTTTGCGGATACAATCGTGTGAGCTGATGAAAATTTTTTGTCTCTTTTTTCCCGTTTTTATATATTTATATATTTTTATTATTATTTTTCTTTCCCCCCTTTTTTTTCATTGTTCTGTAATTTCCCCCTTGTTTTCTCTACATTTTGAACTTATACATACATAAAATTTTCGATGTGTTTTAGAGGTCAAACGTTTTGACCACAAAAGATAAAAAAAAAAGAAGTGACAAAGATGGAGTTGGGCCACTATTCAGTTACAACCTCCATAAAAAGAGCAGTTTTATGAATTAGGAAGCATAGAAAAATTTTATTTATTTATTTTGTGTTAACTATCTTTCCCGTTTTATATGTGCATGTTATGTTTACGTAGGAACTGAAACGATTCCATACTGTCTGTAACATAACCCATACTGTACATCAACATAACATTTTTGCCGTCATTAAAAAATTCACTTCTGTGTCAAAATTTAAAATGACGAAATCGTTTTCCATAAACTTAAATTTAGAAATCCATTTTACAATTTTCGCACATCACGAATTTATCTTTCGCTGACACAAAAAGTCGCGGTTTAAGAGACAGCACGATATGAAATCGATTTTTCTCAACGATAAAATCCATTATGATGATGGAAAAGGAAAAGCGGTTGAAAATTTTGATTGCATTTTTCTCTACCGTCGCCTGAAATGCGGGTCTAAGCTAATTTCATTTATGAATATTTCATTTCCTGTTTTTTCGCAATAAAACTTTTTTGAATATCGTTTGGCCGAATAGAATATTATCTTTTGGTTTTATGTTGTGGATAAAGCAAACGATTTTGAAAGAAATAACGACAAAACTTAGCACGTGATTTATTTAGGTTGCAATTCAGCGAAGAGGTCGATAACATTTTTTTAAATTTTTTTTTTAATCAAAAGCATATAAACGTATAAAATGCCGCAGAAGCTTTTAAATATAAATTCTTTATATATATATATATATATATATATATATATATANCTATTTTTACTTCGCATCGCATTACTTCAGCGACAAACTGATTCCCCTTTCAAAAATGTATTTATTTGCACTAGAACTAATTTTTGGTTCTTTCTCTATTTTTACTTCGCATCGCATTACTTCAGCGACAAACTGATTCCCCTTTCAAAAATGTATTTATTTGCACTAGAACTAATTTTTGGTTCTTTCTCTATTTTTACTTCGCATCGCATTACTTCAGCGACAAACTGATTCCCCTTTCAAAAATGTATTTATTTGCACTAGAACTAATTTTTGGTTCTTTCTCTATTTTTACTTCGCATCGCATTACTTCAGCGACAAACTGATTCCCCTTTCAAAAATGTATTTATTTGCACTAGAACTAATTTTTGGTTCTTTCTCTATTTTTACTTCGCATCGCATTACTTCAGCGACAAACTGATTCCCCTTTCAAAAATGTATTTATTTGCACTAGAACTAATTTTTGGTTCTTTCTCTATTTTTACTTCGCATCGCATTACTTCAGCGACAAACTGATTCCCCTTTCAAAAATGTATTTATTTGCACTAGAACTAATTTTTGGTTCTTTCTCTATTTTTACTTCGCATCGCATTACTTCAGCGACAAACTGATTCCCCTTTCAAAAATGTATTTATTTGCACTAGAACTAATTTTTGGTTCTTTCTCTATTTTTACTTCGCATCGCATTACTTCAGCGACAAACTGATTCCCCTTTCAAAAATGTATTTATTTGCACTAGAACTAATTTTTGGTTCTTTCTCTATTTTTACTTCGCATCGCATTACTTCAGCGACAAACTGATTCCCCTTTCAAAAATGTATTTATTTGCACTAGAACTAATTTTTGGTTCTTTCTCTATTTTTACTTCGCATCGCATTACTTCAGCGACAAACTGATTCCCCTTTCAAAAATGTATTTATTTGCACTAGAACTAATTTTTGGTTCTTTCTCTATTTTTACTTCGCATCGCATTACTTCAGCGACAAACTGATTCCCCTTTCAAAAATGTATTTATTTGCACTAGAACTAATTTTTGGTTCTTTCTCTATTTTTACTTCGCATCGCATTACTTCAGCGACAAACTGATTCCCCTTTCAAAAATGTATTTATTTGCACTAGAACTAATTTTTGGTTCTTTCTCTATTTTTACTTCGCATCGCATTACTTCAGCGACAAACTGATTCCCCTTTCAAAAATGTATTTATTTGCACTAGAACTAATTTTTGGTTCTTTCTCTATTTTTACTTCGCATCGCATTACTTCAGCGACAAACTGATTCCCCTTTCAAAAATGTATTTATTTGCACTAGAACTAATTTTTGGTTCTTTCTCTATTTTTACTTCGCATCGCATTACTTCAGCGACAAACTGATTCCCCTTTCAAAAATGTATTTATTTGCACTAGAACTAATTTTTGGTTCTTTCTCTATTTTTACTTCGCATCGCATTACTTCAGCGACAAACTGATTCCCCTTTCAAAAATGTATTTATTTGCACTAGAACTAATTTTTGGTTCTTTCTCTATTTTTACTTCGCATCGCATTACTTCAGCGACAAACTGATTCCCCTTTCAAAAATGTATTTATTTGCACTAGAACTAATTTTTGGTTCTTTCTCTATTTTTACTTCGCATCGCATTACTTCAGCGACAAACTGATTCCCCTTTCAAAAATGTATTTATTTGCACTAGAACTAATTTTTGGTTCTTTCTCTATTTTTACTTCGCATCGCATTACTTCAGCGACAAACTGATTCCCCTTTCAAAAATGTATTTATTTGCACTAGAACTAATTTTTGGTTCTTTCTCTATTTTTACTTCGCATCGCATTACTTCAGCGACAAACTGATTCCCCTTTCAAAAATGTATTTATTTGCACTAGAACTAATTTTTGGTTCTTTCTCTATTTTTACTTCGCATCGCATTATTTCAGCAACAAACTGATTCGCCTTTCAAATATACGTATGTATTAGTATTTTTATTCTTTAATAAGACTCATATCATTACAAATAGAGAACAGTTTTTATTTCTCTTGTTGGCATTACGTAGCTCTTGTCTCAGTTGTTTCATTTTTAAAAATTTCGATGTAGATTCGATCTCTTTCTTTCGATCCCTATTTATTTATTTTGTTATTTTTATGAAATCATTTTAGCACAATCTAACAAAGATCTCCAGAGAGGAATAGAAATTTTTCTTTTTCACAACATAGTTTATATTCAAAGCTGATAAAAAAAACGAGAAAAAAAAATTTCCGAAAATAGCATTTACAATTCCAATGACTTTCGACCAATTGAAGGTTTAAAAAATAAATAAATAAATAAAAGAAAACTCGAGGTCAGGAAACAAATAAAAAGTTTAATATCTTAAATTACATCTATGCAGTTACATTTCAATGAGCAATAGAGCATTTCGGCTCGTATTGTAATTTTTACTGTTATTAGTTCTTGAACCAATTATCGAAGGTTATCTTTTTTTTTTCATTCCCTAGTTCTCCCTGTACATTTTTCTTCCTCACTGTAGTTTTTAAGTTAAAATTATTCGTTAGTATTTCAACAGTTTTTGCCTGAGCCGGGATTACCTGGTTGGCAAAGCATTGGGCCCATGTCCAAGAGGTCGTGAGTTTGATCACTGCCGGCCCAAGACTACCCGTGTAGTAAATGGTAGCTGGTGTGAGTTAAATCTGCTAGGTCACAAAGTACTCCGAATTCCCATAACAAATCAATACCTCTGGGGGTACTGAATTAGAGATTGATCGTTCTCTGGTTCAGGTCAAAATTAAGATGATGAATGAATGAATGCATGAATGTGGCTGCCCTATAAACGGGTGTGACGTTTGGGTGCGGCAGAAGGCGAATCCTTGACCATAGATGGTGCCACTGAGAAACAAGAACATTCGCACCCCCCTCTGCCTTAATGGCCAGCGACAACAACATCATCAGTTTTGCATACATTTCATTTGTTTTCATTAGTTTTGTATTTTATATAGTATAGCAAAACAAATAGTAACGCAAAGAGAAAAAATTTGCGATGAAAGCACTTAAATTTGCAACAAGCTTTGAATAACTCGAAATTGGGAGAAAAAAAAGCACTGTATTAAGTTTAAAAACAAATAAGGACTTTTTTTTCACCACGGCTAATCTCAACTATGTACTGTAAGTGCATTTCTACGATTTTTCCCAGACTATTTTTTTTTCTTTTGTTCCATTGTATTATTCTACACACCATCGCAATTTCAAGTTTCTAAGTCTTACAGTTTTTTTACGCAGATAAACAAAAATATAATGTAAAGTTGAACACCCAAAACACCGGTGGCGGTTACGATTTTTTTTTTTATTAAAGAGAGATTCTCTCTGAAAGAGTTTAATTTTATTAAAGAAAGAAAAAAATCTCTGATAAAGTTACACTGATTAAAATTGTGATTGCTATTAAAATTTTTGATTAAAAATTCGTCAAAAGTGAAAAAGCAGTTGCGTCAAATATTTTTGTGTAAACATCTCGTCAAAAATCCCGTGATTTTTTTTTTCTGACGAAATGATTGCCAAAAAACAACGTACTCTAGTGAAATACCAGCTGAATCGTCAACAATGAGAGTTTTATTTCTGGGAGTTAAATAAAACTTAGAAATATTGTACTTGTAACTTAAAAACATTGTATTTATAACTTAAAAACATTGTACTCTTAGCCATTAATGCTGCAGTTTCTTTTTATTTATTTATTTATTTTTTTGACAGCAAAGTAAATTTCTTTATTTTTACAGAACCCAAATGTCTCAGAAGAAGCATCAAGTTCTAAAAGAATGAAATTGTCCGATTCTGCAACAACGCTCGAAACAACATCACCGATTCCAGAAGTTTCCTCAAACCCAGACAGCTCTGTTACATCTGAATCAGATTTTGACTCAAACGCTGTTATAAAAGAGGAAATTTTCGATTCTGATGAAGATGCTGAAGTCACAGAACCAGTTTCTAATGAACCAAATAATTCACTTTTGAATTCTGGAATCATTCTAAAGGAAGAGAGTTTTGAAGTCGAAGAACCTTCGGAAAGTTTAGAAGTTGAAAGTTTTAGAAATTCTATATCGGATTTCGAAACTTCGGTAACTCCACCCATAACAGAAGCTTCTTCTGTTATCGCAAATCATAAGTTAGCCGATGTAACTGAGAAACAAGATTCGCTCGTTGAGACTACTGTTAAAGTGTCTTTATTTTCCCAAATTCTTAACACAGATTCTTCAGCAACAATTGAAGTGAAAGAAGAGCCTGATTCTTTCATGGAATCTACTTCTTCAGAAGATTCTCTTCTAGTGGCTAAAGGAAGAACTTACGAATCAGTAACAGTGAAAGAAAAACCCTCTTTGCCTAAACCTATGACGGAAACTTCTTTATTTAGTTCTATGCTTGTTGAAAAGAGTTTGTCTGACTTTGCAAATATTGTGGCTTCTGTAACTAGTTCTTCAAGTGCAAATGGAACTACGTTGCCAAGCTCCTCAATTATGCTAGGGAACCCTTTAACAGAGTCTTCAAATATGATACCCACTTCCTTACCAGGGTGTTTAAAAGATTCTCTCCACGAGAATGAAGCAAGACATGTCATATTTTCCAAATCAGTAACAGTTAAGGAAGAACCCTCTTCGCCTGAACCTGAATCTATTTCTTTAGAAGATTCTCTTCTAGTGGCTAAAGGAAAAAGTGACGAATTTTCGAAATCAGTAACAGTGAAAGAAGAACCCTCTTCTCCCGAACCTATATCAGACACTTCTTTATTAAGTTCTATGCCTGTTGAAAATACTTTGTCTAAATTTGAAAATACTCATGTGGCTACCATAACTTCTACAAATGCAAATGTAACTGCGTTACCAAGTTCCTCAATTATGCTAGGGAATCCTTTAGCAGGGTCTTCAAATATGATAGCCACTTCCTTACCAGGATCTTTAGAAGATTCTCTTCTACTGGCTAAAAGAAGAAATGACGAATTTTTGAAATCAGTAACAGTGAAAGAAGAACCCTCTTCTCCTGAACCTATGTCAGACACTTCTTTATTTAGTTCTATGCCTGTTGAAAATACTTTGTCTAAATTTGAAAATGCGCATGTGACTTCCGTAACTTCTACAAATGCAAATGGAACTGCTTTACCAAGTGCAAATACGCCTATGGCTCCCATAACAAGTTCTTCAAATATGCTAGGGAATTCTTTAGCAGAGTCTTCAAATATGATAGGCACTTCCTTATCAGGATCGGCTCCTATAGAAGGATCTCCTTTACCAGGTTCTGCAACTGTATTTTCAGTACCTGACAAATCAACTGTGATAAAAACTTCCACACCGGGTACTGTAAATTTTAGAGGAGCTCCAGTGCATGAGAATTATTTATACGGTTATACTATCGTTAGTAATTCTTTACCACCAGAAGCAATTTCACAGGGTAATGATACTATGATGGGTTATTCCTTACCGGGGTCTGCGAACTTAATAACGACTTCCTTATCAGGATACCCAAATACTGTCGGGAATTCCTTATCTAATTTAATTGCAATGGTGAATAATTTTTCACCTGATTCTAGTCCAACGATGAGATCTCCCTTACCAACTTCTGCAATTATGAAAGCATCTCCATTTCCTGGCTCATTACCCGGTTCTGCAACTTCGGTCGAAAATTCTCTACCAAGTTCAGCAAATGTGATTGGGAATTATTTACCAAGTGCTAACAATGTGTTACCCCCACAAATTAGTTACCCTTTTGGGTATCCTTGCCCCACTATCATAGGTGCTTCGTTACCAGGCTCTTCAAATACTGTTCAGACTTCGTTACCAACCTCCTCAAATGTGATTCAGACTTCTTTATCAGGTTCATCAAATATGATTCGAACTTCTGCTCCAGGTTCATTAAATATAATTCAAACCTCTTTACCAGGTTCTTCAAATGTTATTCCGACTTCTTTATCAGATTCTTCAAATATGATTCGAACTTCTGTTCCAAGTTCATTAAATATAATTCAAACCTCTTTACCAGGTTCTTCAAATGTGGTTCAGACTTCTTTACCAGGTTCTTCAAATATGATTCGAACTTCTGCTCCAGGTTCTAAAGCTACTACAAACAATCCGTCCCCTGATCCTGCAAATATTGTGCGGACATTACTTAATTCTGCAAATATTTTGAGATCTTCCTTATCACCTTCAACGAAAAAGGTTAACACTTCTCCATCAAGTCCAGCAACTGTGATATCAAATTCTGCTGGTAATATTACCTCACTTAATTCATCATCTTCTTCCTGTTCTACGACTACAACAGCAACTTCAGTAATAGAGCCTAAATCGTCATTGCAAGGCTCTGAGATAGTATTCAAAGAAGAATCAATCGAAATTTCAGAAACTCCAGTTGAGTTGGATTTATTTACACTTGAAAGGATCAATAAACAACGAGAGCTTATTAAAGCAGACTTTGAGAAACAAATCAAACTTAAAACAATAAATTACTTTATGAAATTCTGATTAAATCATAAAACAAACTGAGTTTACTTTTTAATCAAACTCGTTTACCGTAAAAAAAAAGGAATATTTCTTCATCAGTAGTGATTAATGCGCATAAAAATGTAAAATTTAACACTACAATATTTTTTAAAATTGTATGCAAATCTTTTAATCAAAACGTAATGTTGAAACTATGTAAAATAGTCTTAAAAGATAAATTTAATCAAAAAGAAATAAGAAAAACTCAACTGACTGTCCTCTAATAAATTATAACTGTAATTATTTCTGTTGATGCTTTTACAAATTTTGAAAATTACTAAATTTTAAAGAAATGTTTATATTAAGAGCGTATTCATAATTCATGAATGTTGGAACTTTTTTTTTATTTCTTGCAACAAAAATAAAAAAAAGTCATTGTTTTAAACCATTTATATGTCGTGTTAGACTATGTCATAGTTGCCAACTCTCACTATTTTAATTTTATGTATTATGTTCAAACTGTTTTGTTCCTTAAAATAAATTTTTTTTTTAAAAAAAGTCATTGTTTTGAACCATTATGTCATGTTTGACCATTTGTCATAGTTGTCATCTCATTATTTTTTTTATACCTTTCAATCAATGAAAAAAGTCATTATTCTTGGGTCATTTTATTTCAATTGCATAATTGTTATCTCTAGTTATTTTTTATTTGTGTGTAATGTTCGAACTTTTTTATTATTTCATTTAAATGAAAAAAGTTATTATTGTTACATCATTTTTATCCATTTGTCATAGTTTCCATCTCTCATTTTTTTTTTTTGTGTATAATGTTCGAACTTTTTTGTTCCGTTCATTTAAATGAAAAAAATCATAATTGTTACATCATTTTTATCAATTTGTCATAGTTCCCATCACTCTTTTTTTTTTGTGCGTGTGTGTAATGTTCGAACTTTTTTATTCCTTTATATCAAATGAAAAAAGTCATTCTTACGTCATTTTTATGCACTTGTCTTAGTTGCCAAATTTCATTGCTGGATTTTTATTTTATGTGTAATACTGGAGCTTTTTTGTTCCTGTAAATCAAGTGAAGAAAGTCATAATATTCTGTTTGTTGTTCTTAAATATTTTGTTTGATCATTTGTCGTAGTTGCCAACTTTCCCTGTTTTCACTAATTTTTGTGGTATCTTTCAAGCTCTTGAAAATTTTCTTATTTTTACTAAAAATTTTTCTCAACTCCTTAAGAAGAAAAAGGAAATTTTTAATTCACAAAAGAAAAAAAAATCAGGCAAATATTTTATATAATACTATTTAGTTTTTCTAGTATATTTTAACAATTCGCAACTTTAATTTACTCAAGGTATTCTTTAATTGCCGCACTTTATGTATAAGTTTGAAAACTTTATCTAAAGTGAAGTAAAAAAGAAAAAAAAAACAATAAGAATCACAATATTTAAAGAATAACATATATATTATAAAAACTTGACTAATAACTATTAAAAAAAAGCTGTATTGATGCTTGTAAAAAAGCTATTATTGAAACTGAATAAAAGCTCAAAACCAAAGATCAAAGCATCAAAACCAATTTTATTGCAAGATGAAAAAAGTAATTTTAATTCTAGACGCAGAATTTTCGTCCAACATATTTTTTATTAATTTCAATTCATTTAAGTCAAAATAAGGGAAAAATGTTTATTAAAATTATATTGAGTTATAAAAATGAGTTAAATATAATGAGTTATTAAAATTATATTTAACATTTTAATAATTCATGGTTATGAAATACAACATGAAACACTGGTGTCTTTTTCTTCATTAAAGGTAAAATCTTCCAAACACGGGCTCACTTCCAGCAATAATTTTTTAAAATTTGCAGTTATCTAGAACTAAGAGAAAGAGCTATTGATCTTTGAAATTTCTTTAATTTAGAAAATTAATTATTGATAAATGTTTAAATATGAATGAAAGAAAATTTTCACACAACTTTTTTTGAATTTTACATATTAAATACAAGTCTGATAATTTAACAGATTTTTTTAGTAACTATGAGACTGTTTTTTATAATTAAAAAATACCTAAATATATTTTTGCTTGTAATTAGAATTTTAGAAAAATAATGAATAAAAAGAGCACGGTTGTCCCATATGCGTCAAAGGGTTAATAATCATCATAAACCTCCTCTCAATCTTTTTCCGAAATAAAATTTTTTTTCATGGTTTTAGTACCGTCTTCCTTAATAATGATTCGGGAAATTTTCTTAGCTCCTAAGGTATGCATTTTGATTCTATTTTTTTCAAATAATTCTAAAATTATAACTACAGTTAATTGTTATTTGAGAGCCTGTTTAAATGTTATAAGTTGAGAATTTTTGGTGTGGCTTGATAAAATTTCCCTAATCTAGTCCTTAAAAAATATTTATAGACAAAAGTATTTTATGCAAGCACCAAAATAGCTTTTGATCTAAAAATCGGGTCTTCACGTTCTAGGACTCAATGGTTAAGACAGATGAATGTACTTTTTTTTTGAATAAACATAAGTTTTTTTTTTTTTTTTTGTTGTTGTTGATAATTTCGAATTTCTGACCCTCAAAATATGAGATAACCAAAATCTGGGAAATATGGTTCATACTGTTTTATCAGGAGGATGATTAAAAATTTGGACCCCTTCATGTTAATTTTACTTTTTAAGTATTTTAACATATCTCGAAAATTTTTTAAGCGAATTGAAAAACTTTTGCACACAATTATAAAGTTCGTTTATTTAAAGTTTATTATTAAAGTTTGTTTATATAAAGTTTATTATTATGTTTATTATATTAAGTTTAGTAACTAAAGTAAATATTATTTTATTCTTTAATAGTCAAAGCATTTTTAAATTGTATGTAATTTTTTAAATCATTTTAAGAATATATTTTTACATGGAAAAAAAAAATCGAGCAAAATCGATTGAATAATTTTTGAGAAACCGAATTTAAAAAATACTTTTCCAAATTTCGATTTCTCAGGTCGGTTCGATCAATTTCGCTCAAAATTTGTATTTTGCCATATAAATTTGCATTTTTTAAAATGGTGTAAAAAGTTACGTACCTTACAGTTCAAAAATATTTTTTTATCAATATAGAATAAAATAAATAAATTTCTACTAAAAGTTACAATTTGCTTGGAATTATTTTTGGATAAATGAATTTAAATCTTTAAAATGTTTAGATATTTTTAAAATGATGTAAAAAGTTACATACTTTATTGTTCAAAAATATTTTTTGATCAACAGTGAATAAAATAATAAATATTTACTAAAAGTTAACATTTTGGTAGAAATTACCTTTGGATAAACGAATTTTATAATTGTGTGCTAAATTTTTCAGTTCGTTTAAAAAGTAGTCATAAAGTAAATGGTCCAATAAATATATATTTTTTGTAAAAAATGCAATTTTTTTAAATTGGCATTTACTTAAAATAATTTCGCAGAGGCAGCTGAAACATCAAGTAAATAATAAATTATTGAGTCAATTTATATATAATTAAACGTTTAAAAATGATAAAAAGAAAAAGGATAAAACTATTTTTTAACAATCCCAACTCTCGGAACTTATTACTTTTTTGCGGAACTCTAGGATTCCACGGTACATCGTGTGCTTTAAATAATGGAGGAAAGGTGATTTTCACTCAGAAATATGTTGATTAAACGAAGAAATGCGATAAAAAAAAATTTTAACTAAGAAAATAAGCACCTTTTTCCCTGCCTCTTGCAAACCCTCACGATTGCTTCACAATAATTGTTGTTTCTTCACTGTAAAAAAGTTCGTATAAATTTATAGAGTAATCGTATAATTAAATATCGGTATCCCGATGCAGCATCTGTAAAATCCGTATAATTTAAATACCGTAAAATTTTATACTTTTGTCTTTACAGTAACATTTACTGAATTACAATGATTTTACAGTAAAATTTTACGGTAAAAAGTATCGGCACACAGTGCACCAATACTTTTTACCATAATTTCACATACCATGATTTTTCACACTGTTAACATAAAACAGTTTTTTCTGCTATTTAATTAATCACTTATATTTGTTCTAAAAATTTTATTTGCTTAAGCTTGCCTAGCCCAAACCTTTCTCTAGGACAACGTTAAAATATATTAGTAAATTTTGTTCAGTAATCAGTAAAACGGACAATTAGTTTAGACATCAATTTACATAATAAGTTTATCCAAAAATGTAACATAATAAGGTAATACATAATAAATTTTAAACTCCAAAGTTAAAAAAGAATTAAAATCAAAAACTCGTAATAATAGTTGAGAGACATAAGAAAAATAAATATTACAATTAAATGCCTTTAAATTTGGGATAAAAAAATTTTTATAGAAAAAACAATACCTGAATGTTATTTATTAATTTTAATGCTGATGATAATAAAAAAAAATATAATGAAGTCAATTGGAAAAACTGAATCCTATCCTGCGATTTTCTGGCCAATAAGAAATACGCAGACGACAATGGAAAACAGTGTCAGACTATTTAATTAAATTTATTGATCACGTGATAAAACTGTCTGACTACAATATGAGAGTACTGTATTTTTATTACGTAGAGAGAAATATTATATGAATTTTGTCGTGTGTAAAAATAATATACGATATTGTCCAAATAGTTATGACAAATATGTATAATTTGTACACCACATGAATAACTGTATCAATAAATTTAAATTTTTTTATTATGTGGGGTCGTTCAAATGTTCGTAAGCAAGTTTCTGGCAATTTTGAACTCGTTGTCAGTAAAACAAAGCAAAACACAAACCTCTTTTCATGTAAAAAAATCGAAATAACCATTTCTTTTGTTTTATTTTTGAGTTTTACTTAAGGATTAAATTTAAATAAAAAAAACACAGTTTTTAATTAACAAAATTTAAGTTTTAATTCCTTTCATAAAATTTTGATTCGAATGTTATTTAAGAATCTTTTGTGTGTTTCTTATGTGGACAAAATTCTTGATCTCTGTAATTAGTCGGAATTTTTTTTTTTTTTCATTTGCTAGATTTTGTTTTTATTTCTGTTTATTTTATTAAATCTGAAATTTGTAAGTCTATTTTTTTTCTTTAAAAAATAAATTTTAAGAAAAAAAAATTGAAAATAAAAGGATTTAAGCATCTTACACGGTCCTTATACGTATATATTTATTTTAAAAATAATTATTTTCAAGTGAAAAAAAAAAAACATTTTATACGTTGCGCAAAAACCCAACGATTTGTAATCCACATTACTGTATTTCCATTAACTATAACAGATGGGATTAATTATACTTGATATTGATTTCATATTACTGCGATTTCATTTCCCTACGACCAATAATTAACGACATTATGTATGAATTTCTCGTCTTCATTATGTATGAACTCGTATTCCTCTTTCTAAAGAAACAGTCATCAAACCGATGAGAGATTTCCTTCTCTCGATCCGCATGCGCAGTTGGCCTTGTGGAAATGATGGCTGCAACTATGCGCGAATGGGGGGAGAAGGAACTCTCTTTCCCTCCTCATCTAGAAAGTAGAGGAGCAAAACTAGTTTCCACGATCGGCGCGTGCGCAGTAGAATTTTCTCCTGGAGTTCCTTGTATAGTCGATATCTTCTCGTCTGCGTGCGGTGAAAGCATTCTTTTTTTTAATTATTATCGTTTTCTGCGTGTGTTTTGTAGAGTTCCTAGCGCCATTTTTTAATCAAAAAGATTGGAACGTTTGTCGCAAATCGTTGGTTTTTCTGTGAATGCTAGGTAAAAGTTTTCAAAATGCAACGTCGATTTACTCAATCAAAAGATCCAGTGACTATTAGTGAGTTGAAAAAGGTTAAGTTTTCGATGTTGACTATTGATGAGAAAATTGCTATTAAAAGAAGAGGCCGTCCAACTCCTGATCTTGAATTATCTGAAGTGGGTTTTTATTCCACGAGGACTTTTAAATCAACTTTCCACAGTGGTTGGTACGAAAAAAAAAGTTGGTTGTGCGGCTGCGAAGTAAAAAACGCTTTGTATTGTTTTCCATGCTTATTATATGATGGAGACTACAGGTGGACTCAAGGTTTCTCTAATATAAGGAAACTGAAAGAATATGCTGATAAACATGAAATATCAAAAAAACATATTGAGAATGAACTTTCTTTGGCGCTATTGGGAGTTGCGAACATTAAAGGCAAGCAAAGTGAGGCTTACAGAATTTCGATCCAAGAACACAATAAAAAAGTCGCTAAAAATCGTTTGATTTTGTCGAAAATAATCGATTTCGTTCTATTCTGCGGAACTTGTGAAGTCCCTTTGTACGGCCACGACGAAACAGGCGATTCCGGTATATTCAGAGGGCTGGTGAATTTTGCATCCAAATTGAACCCAGCGTTAGAATTCCACTTGAAAACGAACACGACTTTTGAGGGTATTTCTAAGACATTTCAGAATGAAATATTCGACTCTCTTTTTAAAGTTTATAGAAGTCAAGTGAAGAAAGAAATCGAAGAGGCCCCGTTTATAGCTGTTATGGTTGATGACGTCACTGATGTTTCTGAATCTACACAGTTGGTTATTGTTTTCCGGTACGTTCTAAATGGAGAAATATTCGAACGATTTTGGGGATGCTTTGTTCCAGATGATCGAACAGCAGAAGGGATATCCAAATGTATTTTACAGCAATTGAATATCGTTCTCCGAGACAATGAACTTAAACTGATTTCTCTGTCCCTAGATGGCGCTTGTTTCATGAGAGGTAACAAAGTAAAAATTGAAGAGAAAATTAACGAGTGTTATCAAAATGCGCGTCTTACACATTGCTATGCTCACCAACTAAATCTCATAATGAAAAATATAGCAAGCGTCACTGATTCGTCAAAAATATTTTTTTCTAACATCACGGCCATATCAACTTTTTTCTCAAAATCACCACAGCGTCAATCTGCACTTAAAAACCATATAAACATTAAAGTAGAAATATTCTGGGATTCTTACCCTCGAACCATATGCGGTGTTTACGAAAATTTGGAAATTTTAAAGAAATGCCTATCTGTGTTAAAAACATCAAACTCCGACACCACTCTGTCGGAGGCTGTTGGAATTTTAAACAATTTGAGTGATAAGAAATTCCTTTTTTGGTTGGAGATATTTTATCTCATAGTCCCTCATATAGAAATACTCTATAACCACATGCAGAATGGAAATACAGAAGATTCTACTTCTAAAGTTCTAGAATACGTAGAGAATTTTGAATCTTGCATTTCCGCAATCAAAAATTCCAAATACTGTGAAAATACCTCCTCGTTGCTTACTGCTGACGCAAAACTTTTTTTCGAATACTTATCCGAAGATATGGTAGAACGATATTCTTTTACGGGGCATCTATTAACCGCTAATTTGCTTAACAAGAAAAAATTCATCATGTTTAAGAAGTTGTTTCCGAGCGAAGAAATAAAATTAATTGTTAAAGTATATTCAGGAATCAACAAATCAAAACTCGAAAATGAGCTAAGGGTATTCTACAATAGTTCAGAGATACACGAATATTCTAAAATGAGTGATTTGTTGAGCTTTATTACAGAAAATAATTTGAATTACATTTTCGGCGAACTTATAAATTTGATAAATATGCTCTTGACGATTCCTATGACCACCAAAGAACCCGGACGATATTTTTCCTCATTGAAAAAAATACGAACTTTTTTACAGAGTGCTAAGTCAGAAGATCGTTTGAATGCGCTGACGATGATTTTTACAGAACAAAATTTTTTCGATAGGCACTCCCAATTGAAGGATACAGCTATTGATCTTTTTTCCGTGAATAAACAGAGAAGAAGGGATTTCAGTTTCAAGTAATTTTTTTAAAAAATTATTTTGAAATTTTTAATTTTATTTGCATGGGAACATCACAGTAAATTTTCAAAATTATTTTTATAATTTTTAAATTCTTATTGTGGTAAAATTGTTTTTATAGGATTCAGCAATAAGCATATTAAATAGCAATCTAATATATATAATTCTCTTACGTGGCTCCCAAATTTTGGCTGTATTTCTTTTCCGCCGGTGGCACCGTTTGCTTTGTTTTGTTTACGTTACTATTTCTCTTACACGGCGAATCAACCAATGATTGCCGCTAAAAATGTCACATGCCAAATCCAGCTGAGGTCGCTCAACATATAGCGATTTTTAAAACGGAAACTGAAATAACCAGAGAGCATCAGCTGCGGCAATCTCGTACTATTNTGGCTCAACATATAGCGCTTTTAAAAACGGAAACTGAAATAACCAAAGAGCATCAGCTGCGGCAATCTCGTACTATTAAGCTAAGCAGAAGTGAGTAGTCTTTGTCGATAGATCTCTATTTTAGTATTTTGTCGAAAGCGCCTTTTTTTCACGAATTTATATATTATGAATTTATTCGACGATTTTTTGATTTATATCACGAATTATACTATAGCACATTTCTAATAGGTTTAACGAATTACATGTCATTTATTTAAATTCAAATTTATTTTAATGACTTAGTATTTACTAAAAAGATGTAATTTTTTTTACAAAAAAAAGTTGTTATATGGATTTGAATGATTGTTTTGAATTCTTAGAATTTTGTGCATTTGCAATGTACCTAAGTTAGAAGCGAGCTTGGTTTGCGAAGCAAACCATATAAGATTGCGTAGCAATTTTCAGGGGTTGGCGAGCGCTAGCGCGCAGGGGGCGCAACCCACTAGTTTTCTAAAAGTATTTCGATGAAAATTATATAAATGAAATGGCAAATTTTTATGGGCGCTTACATGCATGAAATAAGTCTTCGAAAACTTTAAATTTGCGATTTCAGTAAAAAGCGTTAGATAATTCCTTGAATATTCATCCAATTTATTTTATTATTATTATTATTAATTAAAATTTAACAACAAATACTTGACGATCCAAAAATGACCCAAAATTCAATTAAAGTTTGCCGCGTTTTGCTTAAGAAACCAGTTAAAATTTAATTTCGGATAATTTCAAAATTAGTTTTTCCACAACAACTGGAGTTGCTGACTGTAGAAATTTTTAACACAGTATTTTTTGCAGCGTTTCAGACCATTTCAATTGAAATATTTGTTCGGGAGATCCCAAGCGTTTTATGAGCATAAAGCGATTATTTTGGAATTAAAGTTCATAGTTTTACTCAATTTTCGGAGTTGTAAGTTGTTTAATTTAGTAACTAATTTACAATCTTGCTCAGACAATCAATTATTTGGTTTCCTAAGCAGAACGCAACAAATCATACAATTTTATTCATCAGAATTATGAGAATCATTCTGATGAATTATGAGAATCATTACAATTTCCATTTATCTTTAATTGATTTTTCAAATGGTGAATCATTTTCGGGAGATTTGGCATAAATAATGCATCCGTCGTACATAGAATTTCTGTATTGAATTTATAATTTTTAAGTAATTAAATGACGTATTCTGATTTGACTTTAAAACTCTATATTCAATGTAACGGTATTTAGTTAAAAGAAATGCATAACTGAGAAATTCTACGTGCAACAGAGGATAACTTAAGCGGTAAAGAATTTGTTAATACAGTATAGTAAATCTGATAAAAATGGAGAGAGTTTTCTGCCTTTTTAGAATAACTTAAAGAAGTCTTTCATTGCCGACTATATGCACATTTATTTTCCCATAATAATTTATTGTATGAATCAATATTTTAATCATAGTTAAAAATCTGGTACTCTTTCTTCAAATATTATACATTTATTTGTACTAATGCACAACGTGTTCCTTTGTGCGCAGAATATTTTGCAACAATCATCTTTAATACATACTTTTTAGAGCATTAAAATTGAAGACTACAATATATGCGCATTGACACTGCAAATTAAAATTTTAATCTTAAAAAAAANAAAAAAAAAAAAAAAAAAAAAAAAAAAAAAAAAAAAATAAAAAAAAAAAAAAAAAAAACAGTATGAAAAATCGAACGAATCACTAGTGACAAAGGTGGAATGAAAAAATGAAATCCAGATTGATTGCCTGTGGAAAGTTAGAGGTTTTTCTAATAATTACCTTTCATTTCCGTTTTCTCAGGTAATCTAAGGAGTCTTAAGTTCTTATCAGTCCCGCTCCGCTTTCCCCATTAGTGATTTGTTAGATTTCGATAGCGTTTTTGCTTTTTGTTTCATTTTCGCTTAAATATAAATGTACTTGTCCTTAAGTATAATGCGCTGTCTGAAAAAGAAACGGAACGTTCTGAATAACTTTTGATTTAATGATTTTAATTTCATGTTAGTACATAGACTCCATTTTAATGGGTCGCATTTCGCCATATCTGAAATATTTTTTAAGCGAATCAAAAAATTTTTGCTTGTAAATATAAATTCGTTTATCCAAAGAAAAAAGTAAAATTATCATTAACTCTTCGAAGGGCTGTGGTTATCATAGCTAACTGCAAAGTAATGTAAGGTAAAACTCCTTTTAAATAGTGTTTTAAATAGAGTTCTAGTGTTTTATTTTGTAAAAATTTCCTGGCCCTCAACAGGCTAAGGGATCAAAATTTTCGACCACACTCTTGATCTAACTGGACGTTGGGATTTTATGTACCAGATTGCTGCTACCCCCCATAATTTGTGATTCTGAAATCTAAATCTGTCAAAAAAATCTTTATTCAGAGGAAATACTTTTTAGTGCTTAGTTTTGTAACTTAAAATATCACCGGCATTAATTGGTTAGCTTATTAAAGGTTAGGCCTTTGAACCATTAATATGGAGTCTTAGTACATGAAAATTCGATCATTAAATCAAAAGTCATTCAGGGTGTTAATTAGTTAAATAATTTATTTATTTTTATATGTGTCCTGTACATACTTAACATCTTTTCTGACATGAATTCTAAAAATAAATATTAATAAGGGATGTCATTTACTGAACACCCGGTTAAAACTATAATTAGTTATTGTTACTTATACATTAGACTATCGTCTAGTAATCTTGAGAATGCTTGAACTGACTGAAAAGAACCGATCTGAGATCTCATCTCGTGATTGCCAGACAGTAACAATTGATAAAATTGGATACCTGAAAGTGACGTCATTGTAGGTAATTCGTGGTATTTGTCGATTCAGAAGCCAATCAGGTTCGACGCAAACGCGTGACGTCGCTTTCAGGAATCCATTTAAATCTGATTGAAATCACATGGTACGGCATAATTGCTTCACTTTTTCGCGAGTGCTTAATACTGAAAGAAACATATTTTTTTACATATTATAAGCATTTCATTTACATATTTTTTTGAACTGTAATATTCTTTAAATAGTAATATGTACATGTATTTTGAAATTGTAATGATATTTTTTTTTTCCCAACAGAAGTGGCGACTCATTTTTTGATGAAGAAACTCCTTTAAAAAAATTTAAAAGGGAAGAAAATACTCCTAATCCGGAAAAAACAAAATGGCCTGCGAAGCGGGCGTATAATAAAGTATGTAAATTGTTTAAATTCGTAACTTTACTGAACAGAACGTTGTAATTGTACGAGAAATTGTACGGAGAGAAAAAATATTACCAAGAATAACCTCAGTTCTAATAATTGAATTTCACAAACTAAGTGCCAATCTTAATGGTTCCAAGGGCTGTAANGATGGCTGATCAATACGAATTCCGCATCCAGCTTGAACCGACCACAGTGCTGACGTGAAATATCCTCAGTGGTAGACGGATCATGAGTTAGAGTCCCCTTGCCGTCAGGCTAACCGTGGGAGGTTCTCGTGGTCTACCTCTCCATGTAACGCAAATGCTGGTTAGTTTCATCAAAAAGTCCTCCACGAAGGCAAATTTCTGCCAATACTTGATCCAGGAGTACCCTTGTCTTCTGGATTGGGTTCAATATTACAAGGCCACGGAGTTGAACATTAGTAGTCGCAAACCCATAAAAATTAGGTCGGCTGTTCAACGACGGTTATAAAAAATTGTGGTTTAGCAATTACATGACAGCAGACGATCTGTTACTAATCTAAGCAATTAAAAAAAAAAATCGTTTCGTCCGCAATTTCTATTGTGGCTGATGAGTCAGGTTTAATAAAATCATATGAGTCACAACTGTGCTAGAGCACTAAACACTCACTATCAGCTTATTTTGTTGAGTTGTAAGCTTTGAAGTGTAATAGTAAGCTATCAGATATATATATATATATATAAAATTGTGCTACCTATTAGTTTATAGTTACAAAATAATTGCAAATCAAATTGACTTTCTCGGAATAAAAAATACCTTTTCTTCGACAGATTTCTATTTTTGGCCGCCAAAATAGGGGTGGGGGAGAAGAGTAACCGCACTCAAGAAAATGTTAATTTCCTTTTTGTGGTGGTCTTGCCGCCCCCATCTGAGTGCTGAGTTAAGTTGGGGTTGTTTATAAAGTTACATTTTTATTTTAAAATGTTTATTTGGCTGATTCGTTTCAAATTTTGAATTTTGTTATTTAAAATTCATGTAAAAATGTGCATACCTCATATCCGAGATTTTTTTTGACTATTAAATAATGTAATGCAATAATGAATAAATAAAAAATGTAATTAATAGTTATCAAAAATTATTTTTGAGCTGAATTAACTTTGAATAAGCGAGTTCTATATTGGTATGGAATATTTTTTAGATTCACTTAAAGAATTCCCGATATGTGAAAAAAATGAAACTAACTTTGAATTGTTCAAACTTCTGACAGCTCTCCTGGCTTAACTAATGAGACCAAATTTTGCAAGATTGTGGCATTTTTTTAAGGTCAAAAATCAATCAAAGGTCGAAATAAGTATGTTTATTCAGAGAAAGTTATTTTTGTCGGATTTCGTTAATTAAGTAGTAGTTACTACTAATTAATTGGAATATTTGAGGTTAAACCTTTGAACCATTAATATTTGCACTTGGTATATGAAAATCGGATCATATGAATAAAAGTTATTTCAGGGTGATATTTTTATTATCTTCTGCTCTCTGTACAGTAGGGAATAACCAAAAACCAGTGTATGAAATCTAAACCTATGTATGTAAATACACGGGATAACCTTAACGTATGTTTTTTGAATCCTGGTCAAAACTAAAATCAAGAAAGCATACATATTTGGATTCACAGCAAATTAAGGAAAAAAAAAAGCAGCAATACCATATAAATACAGTTGGACCTCTATTTATCGAGGACGTTAAATCCCGATAATAAGTTCGTTATATGAAAAATTCGTTAAATAGAAAATTACCTTTTAAAATATTTAAACAACATTAAACAGGTTTTAAATTCATAAACTTTGGACATAATTAAAATAGCAATTGATACATTTTTATCCTGTTACTAGTATCTACGATTTATTTTATTAATCTGCATGGAAAACAAAAATAGAGCAAAACATTATCCAGTGTCACACTATCACGCTACATATATTTTCAACTAAAAAAAAGTTAAATTTATGTATTAAATTATAGCTGCATTTATTATAAAGGTAATTTTTAACATACATTACCACATGCTTTCTTAAGTTTAATTGCTAATGATAAAATCCGTTAATTTTGTCTGTGTTTTCTGCTTGAAATGCAAACAAAAAGGGAAGGAGATTTTACCGCTTTCTCTCAAAGTTAGGTGTCTTCGAAAATCAATTGCCCCCATAAAATGCGTCAACAAGTTTGAAATGTTCTGAAATATTTTGGGAAATAGGAAAAGTGGATCTCAAAGAAAAGTTCGTTAAATAGAAAATTCACTTCGCTATTTGGAAGTTGTTTTACGAAGAAATTTTCAAACTGTATTTGGTTCCTCGAAAAAAATCGCTAAATAGAGAAATTCGCAAAATGGAAGTTCGTTAAATAGAAGTCCGACTGATCAAATCAGTAGTGAAGAAGGTGGGGAAAAACGTCAGGAGAAATTTTTAAAAATCAAATTTTAGCGCCTCTCTGTTTCCTTAGGCAATTAAACAGGTTTTGATGTTTTTAATTCCTTCTTACACAAAAAAATTTAAAAGGTTATGATAGTTTTTAATAGCACTTATGTTTTTTTCTCTAATTGTAATTATTAAATATTAATATATATATTAATTTCGTACTCTAATGTACATTTTTCTTATTTCATTGTTGTCAAGGATTCGAAGAATATATGTTAAGGAAAGCCATTGCGGAACACTATGTAGTTAATTATGCAAATCTATGCTGATTTCGAAGGAGAGGCGCTTTACATTAACAAAAATAGTTTAACAGTGTGTAACTTGTATTATACTTTTTCCCGTTTCATTCATTTTTAAAAAAAAAAAAAATTGACTTTAGATGAAATACGTTTTCAGCTTAGAAAATACAAAACAGTGCACTGTGGGCCAGAAGACCATGATCTTTGGCCAAAAGTCAAAATTACATTTTCAACTAAAATATGTGTAGGCAGTTTTAATATCGCCCAAATTAGGTATTCATAATTATTCCAAACATTATAATTTACTTTTTGGACCGACGAGAGTACAATGTAGTGAAAAATATGTAAAAAATTTTTTTAAATATAACTTTTAAATTTATGTTTCAGAAGTATATATAGGAATTTCACCTTACTGTTACATTTTTATCAGAGTAATTAGTCTGAAATTATAGTACAATTTTTCAATTTGTTGGATTAGTTAATACTCTTGACAAACTTATAGTTTATATCTTATCATTTGACATTTTACAATGTTTGAATCACTTTCGAAACTTATCTCCAAAAAGTTCCACGAGATAATTAGCTAAACTTTTTTTTGTTGTCTTCTTTAATGTTTCTTCTTTCGAAAAAACCTGCCCCATTTTGCCCATATTACAAAGGTAGACTAAATATACCGAAAGACAAAAATTATTATTTTTTTCATGTTTTCGCATTAAATATAATTTGTTTTTCATTTTTAGTATAAAATTGCGAAAGTTATTATATTTTCAATGCTATATTTAATTATTTAAGCTTATTATAATATTTTTTTTTATTTTTGCTCACCATATTTCAGCCGCTATTTTATTTAGTTTTTTTGATATTTTTAGTGTATTTCAAAATTTCAACTATGAATTCAATTTACCTGCAAATTAAAACCCCTAAAAAAAACCAAATTTTCAAACAAATTTTATCGAAATACTAATTTTGGCCACGAAACCTTGGATGCTGGACCACTGTGCAGTGTGTTTAAATTTAAATCGGTAATAAGAAAGATTTCGAAAGTAGGTTATGTATTTAAAATCAAGTACAGGGTGTACCAATAAGTATGGAAACAGTCAAAAATCTCAATAAATATGCAATACATAAAAATTTCGCCATATTAAAAGATTCATTCAAAGAGTCCAAACTTGTCCCCGGAAACTAACACCTGGGGTTGGTGCAAGGGCAACCATAAATTTTTTATTTTGAATCCCGGTTTTTTATTGCAGATTTGAGTTCACCAGAAAAAAACCTGCTCTTTGACTTTGCATTCCAGATAACGGATAACACTGTATTAATCACAAATTGAAAATTAGATTAAAATTGAAATAGCTATAAATATACATGCCAGATCGAAAAATAAAAAATAAAAACGGTGGTGTTTGGTGTTTTGAAACTAAACAAAATGATGACCAAATGATACCAAAACCAATTACATTTGTGAAACTAAATTTGAAAAAAATGAATATTAATTTTGAATATTATAATATCGCGAATACTAAAGATAACGAAAATTAACGAATACGATATAATCGTGAGAGTCGATAAATTTTATTTAGGTAATGAAAATATTAACAAATATAAATATTGCATGAATTTCTCAAGTTAGTAAAGATCGTGATGTATCGTGAAGTATCAATAATTCTAAGCGATATATCATGATGTATTAATGCTTTTGACAATATGTTTTGACTGATGTTATATCATAAAACATCAGTATTTCTCAATGATGTATCATGAAATATCGATATTTTCTAGTACCGCAAGATTATTAGTACCGCAATATTTCCCAGCTCTATTGATTACCTAACATAGCTACAGATCGATTTATTTTGCTTGCAGATATTTTTTATTTAATTTTATTCTGTATTCAACTAACATATTATTTTTTACCCCCTTAGAATCGTGTCAGGAAATCTGAAATCCAATCTTCATCTTCCCAGAAACCGATGCCATCAAAATTATCTGTTGCCTCAACCTTTGGAACAGCTCCTCGAGCCTCTATCACTCCAGATGTTTCAGACGAACATTCAGAATTCGATTCATCTTATCAGAATAGTTTTTCTCATGGGAATATGGAGATCAGAATTAAAAAAGAACCTGTAGACTTCTCTGATACTGAAGGAGAATCAAACGATATGCTTGGAAATTCTGATGGTGAATCTCTCTTTCAACCTATGGGTTTAATAGAAGAACATCCTATAACAATAGAAGAAGAACCTATGTTGACAGAAGAACAATTCTAATTCTATTTTTCCGGTTTTCAGTTTTTCTTAGCAGAATTTTTTATTGTTCAGTGAATATCATTGGCATCAAGAATATGGAGATAAAAATTACAGAAAGAACCCATAGACCTCTCTGATATTGAAAGAGAATCGAACGATACTTCTGGAAATTCTAATGACGAATCTCTCTTTCAACCTATGGGTTTAATAGAAGAACATCCTATAACAATAGAAGAAGAACCTATGTTGACGGAAGATCAACTCTAATTCTATTTTTCCGATTTTCAGTTGTTCTTAGCAGAATTTTCTATCGTTCAGTGAATATCATTGGCATCAAGAATGTTGAGATTACAGAAAGAACCCATAGACCTCTCTGATACTGAAGGAGAATGGAACGATACTCCTGGAAATTCTAATGATGAATCTCTCTTTCAACCTATGGGTTTAAAGAAGAACATCCTATAACAATGGAAGAAGAGCCTATGTTGACAGAAGAACAACTCTAATTCTATTTTTCCGATTTTAAGTTATTCTTGGCAGAATTTTTTATTGTTCAGTGAATATCATTGGCATCAAGAATATTGAGATTACAGAAAGAACCCATAGACCTCTCTGATACTGAAGGAGATTCGTATAACTATACAACTATAATTACCAATGGTGAATCTCTCTTTTAACCTATGGGTTTAATAGAAGAACATCCTATAACAATAAAATAACCTATGTTGACAGAAGAACAACTCCTACGTTGGTAGAATAACAATAATCAAGCCTTTTTTTCGAATTTTGAATCGAACTTTTACTCATCGCATAGTATTCATCGTTCAAATCACAGTTTTGTTTTATATTATTTTTTTTCTGTTACACTTTTTTTTCTCTTGAAAATTATTTACGGCTTGAAATAAATAATAAAATTATAATAGATAAAATTATTTTGGAAAAGAAATTATTGAATTAATAATGAAAGTAACAAATAACATTATTTATATTTGTTATTTTATATAATAATAATACAATAAAGCATTGTTTATGCGTTTCTTATTGACTTTTCTTTTTCATTTGTACGTTATTTTTTAGTAGTTTCAGTTCATTCTTAATCTATGTGATGTTAAAATAATTCGTTTATACAACGGGAAAAGCGAAAATTATATATTTTTCTCTCTGCATAAATATGACCTTTTGCAACTAAACTCTACATTCAACTCAACTCTGCGTCAATTTTTTTGGATTCAAGGAACTCTTAAGTTACGTTTTAAAAAGAAATTTTTCCCCTAAAAGAATTTTTTACTTTATCGTCCGACTGCGTTGAAAGAATTTTATACTTTTGTGTACTAGATGGAATTTAAAGTTATAATTTTTTTTTCATTTTTACTACTGAGCTTATATTTTAAATTTCATCAACTACTACTTTTATTGTTAAATATATCAATAGAAGTGCCAAATTAAAGTTACTATGTTATGAAAATCTTTTTTTCCGACGAATTTCTTTTAATTTGTTTAATTTTCAGTTATGCGTCTTTTCATTTTCACGTCGGCTTAGAAAGCTTCCCTAAAAAACCTATAAACGAAATATATTTGTATTTAATATCTAAAATTGTATTTTTGCAATACAATCTGCAATAATAAAATAATATCAAAATGAATACAATATGCAATAAAGTAATAATAATTGAACTTGTCCTAAAAAAGAAAGTGCTTTAAGATGTGTAAAAAATGTATAAAGTAGAAAGAAAAAGGATGTATAATTTAATTAATAAACGCAGCTTTGTATTAAATCAAAGTGTGTAACACGATTTGATATTTTTGATACTAATTAAATTATTTTGAAATTTAGTATAAAGTAATTAAACGTTAATATCTGATGATACCAAAGAATCCCCGCGTATTAGGTGACTGGTACACGTTAAATCTGTCCGGGTCACCAAGTTCCCGTTACAGTCAATTCCTCAGGAGGTACGTGGTTCAGGGAATGTGAGGAATATATTCGAAACCGGTTCCCGCAATGAGGTAAACCGGGTTCGAATTCCAGCGATGACTAGTTGTTACGAACTCCGCACCTGGCTCGCACCGACCACAATGCTGACGTAAAATATTCTCAATGGTAGACAGATCATGGATCGATGTCAGCTTGCTGTTAGGCTGACTGTGGGAGGTTTTCTTCTCCAGACAACGCAAATGCTGGTTAATTCCATCAAGCAGTTTTCCAGGAAGGCGAATTTCTCCCAATTCTTGATCCAGGAGTTCACTTGTGTTCTGGATTGGGTTAAAAATTACAAGCTATTGAGTTGAACTTTTATACTCGTAAACCCAGAGTTGGTTCAACTGTTCAACGACGGTTATAATATAAAATGAAATATATTATGATATCACCTAAATTTTTTTGAATTCTTTAAGAAAAATTATCAGCCAATAAAAAGTGTTAATATTCTTCGATGTAGTTAGAATATAAATTATACAGTTTAATATATATTAGTAAAATTATTTTTACATGAAAATGCTTTCATACTTTGAATTAATTAACTAAACCGTATTTTTGTTAAATAGAGAGGAAAGCCACGAAAACCCCCATGGGAAGCGCGACGGCAAGAGGATTCTAACTGAAGATTCGTCTATCACTGAGGATATTTTACGTCAACACTGTCGCCGGGAAAAGAATTCGTTTCGACCCGCCATCGTTGGGAGCCGAACCCGAATCACCTCATTGGGAGGCTGGCACTCAACTCCCTGAGCCACCAAGACTTAAATCCATCGTTATTTTATTTCATAACCGTCGTTTAACAGCCGACCCAATTTTTGGGTTTACGACTTCTAATGTTCAACTCCGTAGCCTTGTAACTTTGAACCCAATCCAGAAGACAAGGGAACTCCTGGATCAAGTATTGGGAGAAATTTTGCCTTCGTGGAGGACCTTTTGATGGAACTAACCCGCATTTGCGTTACATGGAGAGGAAGGCCACGAGGACCTCCTAAAGTTAGCCTGACGGCAAACCCGTGACCTCTGAGGATATTTCATGTCAGCACTGTGGTCGGTGCAAACCGGATGCGGATTCTGTATCGACCAGTCATTGTTGGGATTCTAACCTGGTTTACCTCACAGGAAAGCAAAACCCTCACCTGAGCCATCACAGCTCATATGGCCATCATTAATCAAAATTTAGGATATAAATAGTTCGATATTTCAGATTCTCTACTCATTTTCTTTCTCCAGATAAAGTATAAAAATACAATTATACACGCCAACAGCCCATTGTGCAGCTTTAGGTCGTCGTATGTAAACAACTACATTTTTGAAAGGTGGTTAAATAGTATTAATAGTAATTGAAGTAAATAGAAAATAATTATAGTAATTGATATAGTAATAATAATAGTAGAAAATAATTATATAATTGATATAGTAATAATAATAGTAGAAAATAATGATTGTAATTGAAATAAATAGAAAAAGATGGTAACAAAAAATTAAGCCCTAATGATATTTCAAATCCCTTAAAAATTCCTAAAAAAGGATCAATTTTAGATGAGCTTAAATCTATAAATCTACAAATGTAATTTATTAATTTTCCTCTATTTGCTTCTTTTTTTTATAAATTTATTTTATAATTTTTAAAGCACCAAAAAATGAATATAAATTGTTTCTTATTTAGAAAAGAATAATATTTTTATTTTAAATAACAATAAGTTTTCTAATGAAATTTGTTCAAGTATAAAAAAAAAGTTTCCGAAAAACAATGTAAATCGATGTATGCTAACACGCTTTTATTTACCTAGTTGAGGTTAGCGTCGTTTGTAGCGATAATTCACCAAATCTTGTACCTCATCCGCATTGATGAAAGTTTCTGCTCCTAGATGGCGGACGAGTCGTCCTCTCTAATACAAGAGCTTTAAGTAAATCTCTGAACTCTCCGCCATTACGGAGCAAGCAAGTTCGCATGTTATGCTGTGTTAGTATTAGCGTGAGTTTGAAGGCTATTTTGATAACAAATTATTGATATGGGTGGTTGTGCGGCGGTAAATTGCACAAACAGTTCTCAAAAAGGCTTTCGAATGTTCAGGTTTCCTTCTGATTTGATAAGAAAGAAGAAATGGATAGTAAATTGCAGAAGAAGCAACTGGCAGCCTGGAAGTGGAGCTCGCCTATGTGAGGTATATATTCCTTTATTTATAACTTATTCGATTTATTTATTTATATGTATAGCATATAAACGATATTAATTTGTTAGAATTTGTTTCTAAATGCTTGTTTTCCTCTATTTATTTTTTTTAAAGATAAGTGAATAACGTTTTTGGGTTACTTAAATTGTACAGCTTTACCTATGTGCAAAATATAGGAATTTTCATTGAAAATTGCAATTATTAAATATGTATTTATTTTAAATATGTTTTTTAAACAACATTTATTTTTTTTATTTAGCAATTTTAAGTGTTCATGTGCAATAAAACCAATAAATAATGGCAAGAGATTGGCTGAATAAGTATTTGCCGAACTTATTTCAGAATCGCCAAGCTTTCTATTCACTTTTGAGTATTTCTTCTTGTTAAAAATAAATATTTACCTGTTTTTTATTGTATTCCTTTTTATTTTACCAATATGTCAGGTAATTAGTTTTTTAATACTGGCTCATTTAATTTTTTTCCCCTAGTTATTTATGGTTATTTATAGTCTAAAGTTCAAACTGTTTGTTTACATTTATCATAAAAATTCCATTTAATATACGATCTTTCGTATATTTTTGGATTTATCAATGTTTTTTTTTCATTGAAATTCTTGCTTTAAATTGCTGAAATAATTAATTTCTGTGTTAGAATAGTTTTTGGGAGTATGTTTAAAAATTTCAAATTCTAAATCTTTTAATGTCATTTATTATAAGTATGAAAATAAAAAAGCAAGTATTCTAAATATTTTTGCAGGTTCATTTTGAAGTATCTCAACTTGAAGTAAACAGGAAAGATGGTAACAAAAAACTAAGACCTAATGCTATTCCAACCATTTTCAATATTCCAAATTGCTCAAAAGTTCCTCAAAAAAAGCTGAAAGGAATAGGCTGTCCAAAACCTGGACCAGTTTTAGATAAACTTAAATCTAATGCAAGTATAAATTTACTAATTCGTCTCCATTTGATAAAGTTTCTCTTATTTTTTTATTATTAAAGTTTTTATTATAATTGTGTATAAACTGTTTCTATCTAGTAATCAATAATATATATAAATACATATTTTAAATTGTATTCCTTATTTGGCTCATAATCAAATATACTAATTCCATTTTAGAGAAATAAGTAAAACATTGTTATTTTTTCTCCTCCATTTATTGCCAGTACTCATTTTATTTTATTTTATAACCGTCGTTTAACAGCCGACCCAATTTTGGGTTTACGACTACTAATGTACAACGTCGTAGCCTTGTAATTTTGAACCCAATCTAGAAGACAAGGGAACTCCTGGATCAAGTATTTGGAGAAATTTACTTTCGTGGAGGACTTTTTAATGGAACTAACCTGCATTTGCGTTACGTGGAGAGTAAAACCACGATAATCTCTCACGGTTATCCTGGCGGCAAGGGGACTCTAACATAAAATCCGTCTACCACTAAGGATATTTCATGTCAGCACTGTGGTCGGTGCAAACCGGATGCGGATTCGTTTCGACCAGCCATCGCAGGGGATTCGAACCCGGTTCAACTAATTGAAAGACGAGCGCTCCATCCTCTGAGCCACCACGGCTCTAGTTGAGGTTAATGTCGTTTGTAGCGATAAGTTGCCAAATCGTGTAGCTCTTAATTATTGGAGGAAAAGCTTTTGCTGCGAAATGGCGAATAAGTCGGTTTCTCTAATTCAGGGGCTTTAGGTAAATCAAAATCGTGGCATTTGCCGATTCAGAAACCAATTAAGTTCGACACATAC